CCTGCTTTGTTGTTGTTGAGACAAGGTCTCGCTCTGTTACCTGCTCTAGAGTGCAGTAATGTTATCACAGCTCACTGCAGCCTCAAACTCCTGGGCTCAAGCGATCCTCCTACCTCAGCCTCATGAGTAGCTGGGACTACAGATGTGTGCCACTACGCCCAGCTAATTTTTTATTTTCTGTAGAGATGAATCTTGCTGTGTTGATCAGGTTGGACTTGAACTCCAGACCTCAAGTGATCCTCCTGCCTTGGCCTCCCAAAGTGCTAGGATTACAGGTGTGAGTCACCACGCCCACTTACCAGTTTTGAGCCAAGAGCAAAGACACTTTGTTAAGGGGTTTCAGTGCTGGAAGAGACTGGGACTGTTGGTGCCCACCGAGATTTCCTTCCAGCCCCAGCCAGTCCCACCTCCTCCATCCCTAGGTGGTCTCTGGTTTTTGCTTCTTTTCTGGCATTTCACTCCTTGGCCCTTTTATGAAGTACTCTCCATTGTTCTTGTTCTGTCTTCTTATTTGGGCCGTGGGTTTGGGGATCCCCCCCCAACCTCTCATTCACGCCTGGAAAAATCTGTGAGTCATGCAGGAAAGCCAGGGGTCTCCACACGTGATTCTCGTCTTCCCTGGGGGAGGGCAATGGACCACTCACCTGAATTTCCCCTGGAAACACCTTAGTCCTAGAGGGCTGGCAGGTCCGGGATATTGGGAGCTGCGAGGAGGCGGGAGGGCCCGTGGCTGTGGGGCTGGCGTTGTTGCTGGCTTCAGGGCCGCCCTTCTCATCCGGGAAGTAGCTATCACTGGCTGAGGCTCTGCGGGAGAGGGCTGGGGTTTTTCCTGCATTTCCCCAATCCAGTTAGAGGGGACGTCCCAGCATGAGGAGGTCAGGCTGCAAGCATTAAAACCCCCGACCCTTCACTCACTACCTGCATGAATTTACTCTTTTCTTTAGCCTCAGGTCTTCTCTCCTCTGCAAAATGGGGGCAACAATAGTGTGTTGTGAGAATGAAATGAGCCACCAAGGTGAAGCACTTAGCACAGGGCCCTGCGGTGGCAAGGGGTTTACATGTGTGTGTATTTTCCTGCCTCTAAGTCTACTTGGAATCCCACTCTCCCCTATCTGTCTGGATTCCGACTAGAGTGGAACTGGATGGGGGCTGTGGGGCTAAAATCAACCTGGAAACCAGCTGGGATTTTAATGACTCTGGCTGGGTCTCCCCTTGCAGGGTTTCCAGCTCCTGCCTTCATCGTGTGGTTGCAGGTGAGAATCTGGGGAGAGAGGAAAGACTGGCTGTGGAGTGGGAAGGGGCTGTATCAAAGCTTCCGGGAGACTCCTGAGTTGGGAGGGAGGGAGGAGCACAGCATTCTCTTCCCCTACGGCTCTGTACTTCTCTTATGCTGGGGTGCAGAGCACGGGGTGTTGGGTGGGGGAGACCAGCCTACTCTCCCCCTCTGAGCCCGTGACTTGCACTGTGGGTGAACATCTTGATTCAGCATAGCGTCCTGCCTCTCGGAGCACTTTCACCTCAGTTAATCGCGTTTGATTCTGGAGATACCTGCGTGGAGGGAGGCTGGGCTCCTTTATCCTCCTGGAGGCCCAGAGAGGCTGCCTGTCTCACTCCAGCCACACCGTGCCGACAGCAGTCACCTGGACCTGGGCTCAGGTTTTGTAGGATGTAGGGCCAAGGGCGTGTAGGCTGGAGGGGATTAAATATAAAATTAACATTTTAAAATGTACAATTCAGTGGCATAAGTATATTCACTTTGTTGTGCAGCTACCACCTCTAAGTCCTAAACAGTCAGGCTCGGTGGCTCACGCCTGTAGTCCCAGCACTCTGGGAGGCTCAGGCAGGCGGATTGCTTAAGCCTAGGAGTTTGAGGTTGCTGTGAGCTAGGCTGACGCCACGGCACTCTAGCCCAGGTGACAGAGCAAGACTGTCTAAAAAAAAAGAGTCCTAAACATTTTCATCACCTGAGAAGAAAACCTATATCCGTTAAGCAATCAGTTCTTATGTCCTCCACTCCCCAGCCCCTGGCAAGCGCCATTCTGCTTTCTGTCTCTATGGACTTGCCTATCTTGAATATTTAACATAAATGGAATCAGATAGTATATGACCTTTTTGTCTGTTCTTTTTTTTTTGTTTGTTTAGCATAATGTTTTCAAGGTTCATCCACATTGTAACATGTATTTGTACTTCATTCCTTTCATGGCTGAATAATATTATATTACATTTTGTTTATCCACTCAAGAAAGGGATTTGTGTGGGTGTGTTTGCTAATTGATTTTTTTATTGTGGTAAAATATGCATGACATAACATTTACTGTCTTAACCTTCTTTTTTTTTTTTTTTTTTTGAGACAGGGTCTCACTTTGTTGTCCAGGCTAGAGTGAGTGCCGTGGCATCAGCATAGCTCACAGCAACCTCAAACTCCTGGGCTCAAGTGAGCCTCCAGCCTCAGCCTCCCGAGTAGCTGGGACGCAGTTGCACGCCAGCATGCTGTCTTCACCATCTTTAGGTGCACAACTCAGTTGCATTAACCACTTCGGGACTGTACTCACTGGCTGCGAAACCTTGCCCACAGATGGCACTCATAGTCCGCACGATAGCTTGTGCAGTGATTGACGATGAATCCGTTTTGCTCTTGTGTGATGAGGAAAGCTTTAAAGCACTGAAAGCTTGTTTTACTTTACAGGCAGCTTTACTTGTAATGTAAATCAGAATAGGTAACATATACATATATGTTTTCATTATGTTATTTTTAAATGTTCATAATTTTATCTTGATAAATGAAAAATTAGAAAAGTCATATCACGGCTGTCAGCTAAAGTCGCTGTGTGCGTTCATCTGTGGCTGTCGACTACAGTCGACGCTGGTCCCGAAGTGGTTAAGTACATACACAGTGTTCGCAACTATCACCGCTGTCCATCTCAGTGGGAGGGGATATTTTTAATTTTACAGTTTTCTTAAGCCCTACACTCACATATTAGTCCACTCCTAGGTCAAGAATCTGTTATGGTGAACCATGACAATGTGATGTGTGCAAATGTTCACAATTTTCAGTTTTGCCGTCTCCCTTTAGGATCTTAGTTTCTATCCCATTGATATCTTTTTCCAGTAGGAGCCTTCTGAGAGTCCTCGCTTCCCTCTCCATGCCTTTGACCCACGCAGGTGAAGCCTCTCCTAGACCAAGCACCCTCTAAGGAGAAGACCCTTGTTCTGGTCTCTGTCCTCTCCACATGGACCACACTTGCTACTAGCTATGCCAAATGATATGTTAATTAGGGCCAAGCTGCCTAGGTGTGCTGACAATGACTCAGTAGCCAATTGTGAAAGCTGGAACTCATGGTTTATTGCTAGGCCTTCACACACCACCAATCATGCAATTAATATTCAACCCACAGGTGGTAATTAAAGGGGGATGGTTTGGGAGACCAACATGCCTGCCTGTCAGCACGGGGATAGCTGCAGACACCAAAACAGGGAGAGCCTCGGAGTTCTCATAAGCAGAACTTCTGAAGACGCCTTGAACAAGGCTGGGTGCGGGCTGCTTTTACGATCCTCCCAGATGGGTCTTACCCTCATTGCTAGGTGACAGCAAGTGTTATCTTATCACCTTAGTCCATTACATATATGTTTATTGCAAACAACTTCACTGTGGGCTCAATGCTACTTGACATGAGGGACTCCATTTTGAGATGTTGGGATTACAAATCCTTATGACATATCAACACCCATGGCCATTTCTGTTCCTCTCAAGGTTGCATTTTAGTGGCTCATGTCTCCTGGGTCTCTGAATCTCCCCTGCACATGGAGACATACCCCCTGCAGCCTCACCTCCACCTCCACTTGCCAGCCCCACCTACTCTCCGCATCCGCTGTGTACTTGCGGCAAGAGGAAGTGATGGTGGGTCCTACGGCAGAGGCTCGGAGGGAAAGCCGCTCCCTCAGGAAGAAATAAGTGATAGCTCTGCAGTTTTCATGCGGAGTTTTTTGGGGGTCAGGGAGAGCTGGAAAGAGACTAGGAGGAAAGGAAAGAGGGAGGGACAGGAGGCTGGGCTCCTTGCCAATCTGGGCAGAAGGAGGGCAAGCAGCTTTGCTCTAAGCAACAGCAGCAAAACAATTCCTGGAAATTTACTTTTTCTTTCTCCTCCCTCTCCCCCCACTTTTTTTGCCCCAAAGCGTAGACAAGACATTGTGATCAACAATCAGAAAGGAAGGAAGGTACCAGGGAGGAGGTATTGAGAAGCACAGATAAAGGCAGGCAGCTTCCCAGGGGTGGGCCTGGGCTCTGGAGGAAGGGGTGGGGCAGGTGCGTGGAGGAAAGGTCAGGCTGAGAGTGTGGCAGTGATCACACTCCCATCCCCAGAACGGACTTCCAGAACATCACTAAGTGAAAAAGCCAAGTCTGGCCGTGGGCATCTCTCTGCCCTCCTGCCATGGCTTCCCCAAGCCTGAAAGGCAGCCTGTCTGCTCAGCAGCACCAGACGAGGGGCTCTCCAGGCTCCCCAAGAAGGATGTGGCCTGCTGCCCTGTCCTTGGCTGTCTCTGCCCAGCTCCTCCCTGCTCCCCACCCTTCATAAGACATGGTGGAGGTAACACCAGCTTGGGGATCAGACCTGTCTTTGACACCCTGTTCCACCACTCCGTAGCCGTGTGACCTCGAGCAAGTCACTTAACTTTTCTGAGTCTCTATTTCTTTATATGTAAAATGAGGATAATGCTACTTGCCTCACAAGGTTATTGTATGGGATACATGAGACAATATATGTGAAGTACGTGGCATTAGCATGATGCCTGCTTTCCACTTCTTCAGGATAAGGAAAAAGAGATGCCCTCTTGTGGAATTAATGTGGAGAGACCTCACTAGTCCCACCACCACTAGCATTTTTCTCTGAATTAGATCAACGTCAGCTTCCTCTTTTATTATATTTAGTTGTCTGGGGTTGTGTTTCTTACATAGAAGGGCTAGGTACCAGGTGTTCTCACGTCTTTCCCGGGCAGCTGCGGGCCGCTCCGCCGGTTTTGCCTGGGCGCCTCGATGCGCTTGGCCAACGGCCTCAGAGAGCGCTCACCCGAGCGCCCCGGAAGCCAGTGATCCTCCAGTGGGTGTAGGGGGACAAAAGTGGCTCTAAATCCAGCACATGCACACTGAAGCAAGTTAAAGGATTTAATATGAAGCACAGAAGCAGATAGTGCCAAATAGCAAGCAGTAATTGGTCCACATTTCTGGAAAAGCAGTATCCGTGTTGTTATGTACACCTCCAAAAAAAGTTCAGATCTGTAGGGGAATTGTTGTGTAAAGTAAACTGAACTACAGGGTAGCAGTATTTTAATAGCTATTGTAGACATGTATTTACTGTATTAAAATGAGTAAAAGAACAAGCAGTGACACACCACTAGGAAGGGTGAGTGGGGCAGCATTTCCTTCTCCCACTGCTTCTGAGATGGTGGAAATTAGTTGAATTCAGTATGAAATGGAATACACTGAAGGTATTAGTCAGCAAATGAAGGTCTCAGAAAAATTAAAAGTAGCACCACCAAATGCTGACCTGGAGCAAGGATTCCAAGAAGGAGTTCCAAATGCTAGTGTGGTAATGCAAGTTCCAGAGAGGATTGTTGTAGTAGGAAATAATGAAGACATTTCATTTTCAAGACCAGCAGATCTTGACCTTATTCAGTCAACTCCCTTTAAACCTCTGGCACTAAAAACACCGCCCCGTGTACTTACACTAAGTGAAAGACCACTAGATTTTCTGGATTTAGAAAGACCTCCTACAACCCCCTAAAATTGAAGAAATCTGTGCAGTTGGCAGGCTAAAAAGAGAGTGCTCTATGAGTGAAAATGCTGTTCGCCAAAATGGACAGTTGGTCAGAAATGATTCTATGTGGTACAGATCATATTCTGCCCCAAGAAATAAAATTTCAAGGTTCCAGGCACCGATTTCTTCACTGGAGTACACTGTGAGAAGACAAAATGAAATACGTTGTAAGAGACCTGTGTTGCATGGTGAGTCTACTGCCGCCACTTCTAATCCTCATCATGACAACGTCAGGTATGGCATTTCAACTATAGATACAACAATTGAAGGAACTTCAGATGACATGACTGTTGTAGATGCAGCTTCATTAAGACGACAGATAATCTAACTAAATAGACATCTGCAACTTCTAGAAGAGGAGAACAAAGAACGTGTTAAAAGAGAAATGGTCATGTATTCAATTACTGTAGCATTCTGGCTCCTTAATAGCAGGCTCTGGTTTCGCCGCTAGAGGTAACCTCAGCTCTCAAAAAAAATTGTCTCAACAGCGGAAATATAAAAGATTTCCAAACTTCTTTGTTTCTGTCTTTGCATTGTATGCTGTTTTATAGTACATGCCCTGAAAATGTATTTCTTCCAGAAAATGAGGGGAAGGACCTATATTTGTAGAAGGAAAGGTATGTTTTGTCACTCAGCTGTGTTCACTTTTAACCAGTTCTGCAGTAATACCTGCTTAAATTCTCCCTTTGCATGTTTTGTAAATAGGCTCTATTTTTTTTTTTTGAGAAATTGAATTTTTGCTTCATAAGCCTGCACAACTAATTCTGAATGGGCGAGAGTATATAGAGAATGGATTTAGAAAAATATCTGTAAAAGAAAAACAATATTGTTTCTCAAATACTATTAGATTAAACAGTTTTGTTAATAGACATGTTTTCATCCATATTTCAACATTAACACTTTTGAAGTCTTGGTCTGGTGCCAGATTTAAGAAAATTAAACCACCTAATGTTTCATGATTGCCTTCATTAAGCACCTGTATGGATTAAATTAAAATAATTTCTAACATTTCACACACACACAAAAAAACAACAAAACAAGGGCTAGAACATTCCCAAATACCTCTATGAACGACCACAGAAGAGATGTAATAATAGTAACGGCTAACATTTATCAAATAATCACCATTTGCCAGAAGTGGTGAAAGGGGCTTTCTTTACGTGTATTACCTCATTTAATCTAATAACAACTTAACAAGGTGGGTTTTATACCAGAAAAGGAAACTGAGGCACAGAAAGCTTAAAAAACCTGCAAAAGTCACACTGCTAGTAATCCAATAAACCATATTATAAGGATCTTTGAAATGGATTCCTTACACCTAATGGCTTTAGGTGTGAACTCCCTGAAGAGTAGATATAAAATTTTGATTGTTGTGTTATATGCATTTTTATGGAGGCTTAGAGCCTTCTTTAGCTTTTCAAAAGGCATCAACAATGTGCAAAAAGGTTAAACAAGACCACCCTTGAAGAGCTTCTCGTGGACCCATTCCAGGATGAAAAAGAAAGGTCTTGCATCCACTTCTGTGGAGGCCACTCGGCCCTGGGAATTTTGGGAAATTCCCCGAGTGAGGGAGGCATCTCTCTCCTTCATAGAACCTGAGGGATACGTGGGAACATCTGGGAAGGGGTTTGAGAAGGGGAAGGTGGATATCTTTGCTTCTCACCTCCATCCTTCCACAAGATGAAGGACAACTGGTTCCTTTCTGTGATTTCCCAAGAGTGGGGGAAGGGAGGGTGCAACATTGTCTTAGGAACAGGAAGCTTGGAAAGACTGATAAGAGACTGGGAGGGCCCCAGATGGGTCCCCTGCCCCCACACCACCAGTAGCTCCGCATGTCTCCACTCTCCCCTCTCTTCAGTCTCCTGTCCCTCTCCTGGCTTCTGCTGCTCCTTCAGATTCCCCCAGGATCCCCACAATCCCCGGCCTCTCCGTGGACATGTGGTGACAGTCTCTTGCTGATTCCAGATTTCTTAGGTCTGTTAACTTTTGTTGAATACCTGATGTATGTAGGACAGAAATTCTCCAATGCTTCTCCGTGCCTCAGCTTCCTAAATTTCACCGTTTTGATATAGACACATGATTCTTAGACACTGGTATTCTTGAGGTCACCCTGACAGCCCCTCCAAGGACAGTAGGTATGAGGTCCAGGCTCTAGCCCTGTCTTCAGTCTTCTGAGGAGAAGCTCCCTCCTATCCATCAACACCCTCATGTAAACTGAACGGAGGCCTTTCCAGTGATTAGAGTTTAGAGCCTTCCACGTCTGGGTGAGGTTTGGGACATGCCATCCCTATTGTCCTTGTTCAACTGGATCTTTGGCTTTTCAATTCTCACCATCTGAGGGGGCCAGATTCTGGATGTGTGACCCGGCAGGGGAGGGCCCAGAGCAGGAGGGCAGAGGGCAGTGAACCCAGCACCCAGGGCTGGAGAACGGGCGCCTGCAGAACGGGCGCCTGCAGGAGGTGAGCTGTAAACTCTGTGACACTTGGTTTGTGTGAGTCGTTCCTTTCCTCCCTCTCAGCAACTCTTTCCTGTGGGTTCCCAGCCTTCATTTTCTCTGTCTCCTTCCTTTGCCTCTGAAATCTGACTGCCCCTTTAGGATCCTGTTCCACTTTCTTTCCCCGAAAACTGCTCTAGCAGGAAGGGACCTATTCCTGTCCACAAAGTTGGAGTTGGGAGGACTTGCCGAAGTCATCTTGATTCTCCTCCTTCATTACAAAGATGAGAAATATGGATTTATGAAATCTCATATTGTTGGACAATGTCAGAAATGTAAATGAAAATGGAAAGTGAGGCCAGATGTTGCAATGCATCTATGTTGATATCCATTCACCTCTGCCAGATGCTAGCACCGCCAGGGACTGGAAATACAATGGTGAGACTCACTCCCTGCCCTCAAGGGGCTTGGGGTCCACCTAAGTTCTGGAGTTCAGCACACTCAAGGCACTATCCATGTTGCTTCATTAAAATGAAACCATTGCTTTAGGATTAACCATTGCTTTAGGAGCTTTTGGATTTCTATCCTTTTTCTTCTCCAAAAAGGACAATGATTATTGAGCCATTTTCAAGAGGTTTGGGCTCACCTCTGGACTCCTCTCCAACAATGTCAGGGACCTGGATTGGTTAGGTCTCTGATTTCTGCTAGCACCTCCTCATGGACACAAACCATGATGCATGCTAGGGGACTCCACGTGGTTTCACAACTCAAGGGCCTTGCCATGGTGGGAGAAGGACCCATTGACAAAGAAGTGCAATGTACCCAAGACTCAGCATGGCTCACCCCCTCCCAGGCTGCAGTACATGGGACAGGAGCCCAATCCTCAGCAAAGTGGCCTTTCTGAGCAGCAGAGGCTCAGTGACTTCCCACCTCTAGTCCCCCTTCTGCCTGCCAGATCTTTGACTCCTGTAAGGAAAGGGTGTCTTTTATAGTTATGGGTTCCTGTCGTGGGCTCAGGAGGGCGCTATGTACCCTGTAGGGCTAGAAACAGGTTTGTATAATTAATCCAGTCCCTTATCAGCCAACAGTCTTGCTGTTTCCTTCTTTCTTGGGGGACCCACGTACAAAACCACCAGCAGGCGCCCCGACACTGGAGAGAGTGGCCACTGTGGGGATGGGCTGGGTCCATGGGCGGTCCCTGGGCAACACCCACGCCGAGACTGCAGTGCTGCAGACTAATCACCAGGGGGCGCGCGGCCCTTTTCTAGCTTCTGCAGGAACCTTCTTGCCGCTCCCAGGCAGTCTCCTCTTCTTCCCTTAATTAGGGGACAGAATTTCGGGTAAAGGTGGACAGTAGGGGAGAAGGTCATTGTAGTGGAACCATGGCTGCTTCTGCACCTGCTCCATTCCCCTACCTCCCTGCAGCTCTGCATCCCACCCCCCTGTTCTGAACTGATATTCTTGAGGTCACCCTGACAGCCCCTCCAAGGACAGTAGGTATGAGGTCCAGGCTCTAGCCCTGTCTTCAGTCTTCTGAGGAGAAGCTCCCTC